CTTCTTATTGGTGTTGGTTTAGAAGCGAAGTGAAGAGCTTGCTCGAACATCTGCAGAACAGGTGGAGTCTGGCAGTAATACTGGAGATGAAGTTGCGTTAGGGTCCAAAGGAAGTGGTACAATGGGACATCCCCCTTCTGCTGTTTACATGGATGAATTTGACACTTATGTTGCCACCTTAAACATTGTATGTTGCTTCTTCATCATGGTTTTTTTAACATTTCATAATTTTTTACTTTCTCTGTTAACCGTTGATTATATTTTTCCAACAATTAACTTTCTCTAATTCAATGGATGTTTTTGTCGGAAATCTGGGATCTCATGCAGGCAGTTATCTGGTTCCATCTTCACGAATATGCAAAGGCATTATCTGTTGTTGAACCGCTTTTTCAAAATAGAGGACCTATAGATGAGGTAGATTAATTATTACCTAAAATTATATTCTTTTTGTACTCGTAATGTTGTGTTAAGTGCTTCTTTATTTGTATGCAGAAAACTGCTCTCAATATGTGCCTTTTGTTGCTGGATGTTGGGCTGGCTTGCCATGATGCAATGAAGTCTGCTGTAAGTACTAATACTAATAGTGTGTGTAATTGATTTTGTTTATAATTGTGCAAGATGGTCATTTAGTTCAACCATTGTTTTCAAGGCACGGTACTGTTGAATTTTATATCTGCTGAAGCCTTTACCTTAGCATCATGCTGGTGATCCTCCTTCTCTACCCCCAAATGAAAGAGGAGGAATGTTTGTGTCTGTCTAAAGTCTAATTATTTGTTGATAGAACAGTGTATGAAAGAAGCAATGATCACTTAAGTTGGTTGACTGGAAGAAGGGGGCACTAGTTTTTCTTGGGCTGTAATCTGTCGTTTTGAGTTGTATTTTGCAAAAAAAGGGAATCCATTTAACTGCACTTTGATTTTCCACCTTGGTTAATCTTGAATTCTGTGCATTCAATGGGTTTATGTCAGTCTTCTTTTTAAAATTTTGTCTTCTTGATAGTAGTCTGGGATAGAATGATTTTATGTCTGTCAAGTGTAGTGTAGATGGGTGAAGATAACATCGGTAACAGTGTTATAATTGAGCTGGAGTTCAACTTGCCTGGTTTGAGGGGGATATTGGGTGATGTTTGTTAAACAGTTCGATGATCTTTTCTGGTTCAAGCATTATCTAACTTATAGCTTGATTTTGCAAGTGCTTTACCAATAATTGAAATTGTTTTATTTTTACCTTTTGTTTTTGGAAAAGGAACTGTTATTGGCACTCCAAAAATCTAATTGTGCACTCCTCATAAAAGTATTTTTCTTTCTAAATATAGAAAGTTTGGGGTGCAAAATTAGATTTTTGGAATGCCAATAACAGTTCCCTTTGTGAAAAACTATTTCATTTTTGGGCATCAGTCTCATCAGAGTTTCAGGGGAGCTTATTTTTTGAATTGCTATTTGTTTCTTAATACCTTCTGTTAAAAATTATAGAACATTCAAACTACTTTAGAGGTTGACAAACACTCCACCACATGCAAATAAGCATCAGTTGTGTTAAATTCTTGATGTTGGCTGTTGGGAAGGTAATTGCTGATTGGATGCGGTTAAAGTTTGAGGCTATCACTAATTGTGAAATCAATATAGATGCTACTTTTAAGCATGGTCAAAGCTCTTCAGTCGTGATGATTTTTTCAATAGTGATTCAATTGTTCTGTTCATTTGTGTATGAATTGTACAAACATGTGCTGAGTCCCTCTTCATTATGCACTATAATTAGAGGGGGCTCCTTTACTGTTTAGCTACATCGGGTTAAAGATAAGCTTGCTATGTTTGTATTCTGTTGATTTGATTCCCAACTAATTCTTTTTGCAATTCCTTTTATTCAGGATGTTTTGATTTATCTGGAAAAATCTTTTGGTGTGAGTTCTATGAATCAAGGAGACAGTGGAAGCACTGCTTCGCAACAACCTGCAAACCCAGTTGCAAAGCCTCCATCTCTTTCTACCAATTCACCAGCCGCAGATGGTCCTACTTTAGATTCAGATTCAAATGCTTTGGAGTCTGAGGAGACTAGCGAGTATGATAATGTGGCTTTTGACATGGATGTTCCACAGCCAACTGGTCTCTTATCTTCAAACGATATTTCTAGGAACCCAGTTCACATTTCTGCCCCTTCTGTTTACCTGAAGCTTAAGATGCAACTTTACAAGATTCAGTTTCTGCTTCTCACTAGGAACTTAAAGCAAGCTAAACGTGAAGTGAAGAATGCTATGAATATTGCACGTGGGAGAGATTCTTCTATGGCTCTCCTTTTGAAGTCCCAGCTTGAATATGCTCGTGGTAATTATCGTAAAGCCATCAAGTTGTTGATGGCATCTAATAATCGAACAGACTCAAGGATATCGAGCATGATCAACAATAATCTAGGCTGCATTTATTACCAGCTTGGGAAATATCACACATCATCAGTATTCTTCTCCAGTGCATTGCGTGATTGCTCATCTCTCCGGAAGGATCGGCCTCTAAATCTGTCAACTTTTTCACAGGACAATTCCTTCTTAATCGTATATAACTGTGGTATGCAGTACTTGGCTTGTGAGAAACCACTACTTGCTGCACGCTGTTTTCAGAAGGCTGGTTTAGTTTTCTATAATCGACCTCTGCTGTGGCTTCGATTTGCTGAGTGCTGTCTGATGGCTTTGGAGAAGGGATTAATGAAAACCAATTTGGCATCATCAGAAGTTAGAGTTTATGTCATTGGCAACGGAAAGTGGAGGCAACTTGTAATGGAAGATGGGGTTTCGAAGAATGGAAACTTGGGTTCTTTTGAAAGAGGTGATTTATTTTTGGGCAGTGATCGGCAGCCTAAGCTCTCTGTGTCCCTTGCTCGGCAGTGTCTCTCGAATGCACTGTACTTACTGAACCGTTCTGAGTCAAGCTATTGTAAGAATTCTTTGCCCTCTAATTTCTTCTTAGACGTTAATGAATTAGGGGAAGCGGCAGTTTCCGAGGCATCTGCGCTATCTGTAGGCTTGGGTCAGGTTAGCATAAATGGGGACGGAAAAGAGCAAAAGGCGGGAACTACTCAGGAGCTTGTGCAGAACTCCCTTTCATATTATGCTGATGTTCGTAACAAGGAAAATTTGTTGATCAAACAAGCTCTTTTGGCAAATCTGGCATATGTAGAACTGGAATTGGAAAATCCCATGAAGGCATTGTCAATTGCAAGATCTCTCTTGGAACTTCCAGAATGTTCGAGAATTTACATCTTTCTAGGTCATGTGTATGCTGCAGAGGCTCTGTGCTTACTAAACAGGCCAAAGGATGCTGCTGACCATTTGATGACATATTTGTCAGGAGGTAACGACGTTGAATTACCATTCAGTGAAGAGGACTGCGAACAACTGCAAGGGGTGAGGGCTGTTGATTATGAAGAGTCGAACGGAGGTTCAATGGCTGCCAAAAACTCATCTGAAGACAGATTAGGTATTGCGTTCCTCAAGCCAGGAGAAGCACGGGCAAACCTGTATGTAAATTTTGCTGCCCTGTACGCTATGCAAGGTGAACTTGACCAGGCTCGCCAGTTTGTTGCACGGGCATTGTCCATAACACCCAACAGTCCAGAAGCAACTTTGACTGCAGTGTATGTGGATCTCAAGCTCGGTCAGTCACAAGAAGCTCTTGCCAAGTTAAAACAGTGTGGTCGAATCACATTCGTACCTAGCGGATTGACATGAACAAAGCTTCTTGACTGTTGTGTCGGTGGATTATCGCAACGTCCGGGCCCACCTCTCAAAGGTAAGCTACTGGGGGTAGATCAGCAATCCTTCATCGGAGGATTTGTACCATACATATAGTTCAATTCAGAAATAAATTTCTGTTTTCTTTTCAAATTTTCAAATGTAGGGGCTTATTAATTGGTGGTGTGGCTGTGTTTTGGTTAGTGCGGAAGCCCACCTTTTGGTCATATTTTGAGATGTAGTTGTTCTGATTAGATTTGTGTTTTAGCGGCTAATCGAGTTGGTTAAACATAGTTAGAGATCTCATGTGTTCTTCTAGAGAAAGGAACTGAAAATGTTAATTCATTCTGTATCAACGTTGAAGTCATTTTTCCCTTGCATGTGTCATTCTTGTAGTATTTTGCCATTCGACCGTAGTTTGTTTCTGTCGATTTCCGATTTGAATGTTTAAATGTGGATGATTCTGCAGCCTAATTAAGCTTATCAGCACGTATTATTGAGCATTTGATGTTCTTGGCGTCCTCTCAGCTTTTGCTTACCTTTAAATCAACGAATAGTATAATCAAGTGGTGACTTGAACTATCTGATGAGTCAATCCACGAGGAACCTTGGACCACAAGGTGACCCTCTGAGAAGGCAATCTATTGTGTGTGTGGCTGGACGACCGCGTGTACAGGAATTAGACGCTAGAGTGAGACCAAAAATTTAGGCGGATGAAAATGTTTTATGTGCGGTTGGACAGTTACGTGGCCTGGACGTCGGCACACTCCAGTCCAGGGCAATCCAGGCCGAGGATGGATAAAAAATACACGTTCCACAGTGTACTCCATTGATAATAAACCAACAAAGGTACAAAATGTTTGCTTGCTGGGTACAAAAAATTAAGGGGCCGCGTGATAATCTTTTTGCCTGCATATTTCAAAATAATGAAAATTAAAAACGAGATAATTATCAAATAGTCCCTAAATAACCACATTATTGTTACCAATTTCTTAGACGTCGGATGATTTTGTGGGGAATATGCAAGTATATAACAAGAAAGAAAAAAGCTTAACATGCAATTCTTGTTGTAATTAAATTTTACTGGGAGAAACCTAGTGTTGGTATAAGAACAAGGAAATTCTGCGTTGCATTGATACAATAGCAGCAGAACCAATAAAAAACATACTACACGACGACACATGCACTAGATATTTCTTTGATTTTTTTTGAATTTTGAGATAAGATGATGATGATGATAGATAGATATATATATATATATATAAGAGGTGAACAATGTTCATGTGGCCATGTGCAATGGGTTTGAATGGTCCCCTCCCTCTCCTCCTCTACTTTCATCCCTGCTGTGTTCTTGGCCATTTCCAGGGCCAGATTTACTGGGAAATTGTTGTGATGGTAAATCCCTTTTTTCTTGACTCTTGGCTAATAATAAACTACCTCACCCAGTCTGTCGCCCCGGTTTTGTTTTGACATGGTCTCGCTTGCTGACGATGATATTGTGTGTGCTCCGCTACAAGTCTCTTGCATCTTTCGTTTTTGTGGAAGATTTATACTGCCGATGTTGTGCTTGTGGTGGCCATGTAAGAATTTTCTCTTTACGTTTGTTTGTACAAATTATCTTCATATCAATATGTATCGGTCACTGAATTTTCATAGCATGTTTGTGCAGTGAGTGGTGTACACATTGTCTCTAAAAGTTACAGTGCCACACTGTATGTATATGGAAGTTGAATTGACTGAAACCAAAGTATGAATGAGAGAAACAAAGGATTTTAAGGGGATTGTTCTGTCTCCTAGTCCTTGACACAAGGAACAGAAATTTCCTCCACCCTTTTTTGTGTCGAATTAATAATAATTCTCAATTTTGTTCGTAAAAGATTGATATTTGTAGTATTAATCTTTTTTTTTTTTTTTTTTTTATATATATACTATTTTATCATTTTTTTTTAATTTCTGACGTAACAGTGGTTAACAAATAAAATAGGTTAATTTATTGAGCAATAAGACGTCTCCCTCTTTCTTTAGTTGAAAGTTCAAACAACAGCACTGATTCTCAAAAAGTCGGATTCCTCAAAGTCCATAGGAATCCAAAACCAGCTGTTGTATACACATGGCTATCCTTATTTGACATTGACACAGTTCGTGAACACAATATGATTGAGTTAATACGAATTTGAATTTACAATTACACTGATTGTGTTTTAGGGCAAATGATAAGAATCCCATATTAATCCTTGAAAAAATGTCACAACTTAGAATTAACCATAATTACACGATTTATCATTAGAGTTAGCATATTGATGACTGTGGGTTGAGCAATGGATACTGAATAAAGATATTGCTATTCACACACTTATTTTTATCTTCCACACACCTTTATTAATTTTTTGTCATTGATTTTCTTCAATTCATTCAATCTAACGACCGAAAATTAAAAGATATGTGTGAAAGGTGAAAATGAGTGTGAATACACTAGCCCTAAATAAAAGTAGGCTAAATTCGGAGTTCAAAATCCTTATATAATGACGTGATAAAACATTACTAACCCCTTCAAATTATAAGGATGGAATCATAAGACGTCAATTCGACAACGTAAAAAAAAGAAAAAGAAAAGGAATCGATCGAGTACGACCTATATGGCCTCGTTTGGTAGCTCGGACTGTACTAACTATTTCAATCGGATAGGATAAATAGCCACCGGATAATACTGACTAAATTAGTTGGACGTTTGGTGCAATATCGGACTAATGATTGTATTATTTATACTGTGTTTGGCACTAAATTGAATTAAAAAAAAAAAAAAATTGACAGTAACCAAATCCTATCTTCATGATAGGAAGCAAATGAAAAGCCCCAAATTAGAGCAAAACCTAATTTGAAAAAAAATGGGTAAATTAAGGGTTATTCTTTGGCAACGTTCATCCCCAGTGGTCTGCAATGGTTGAAAGCAATCGGGTCTAGTACGATGTGGGGGTGATGCAATGAAATTTGCACCTTCTGGGTTTGAGTTCGTGTAGTGGTTCAAGGCGGCAACAGTTTGCAACCATGGGATCTCGTTTCAAGATACAATAGTAGTGGTAGACTCGTGTCGCGTGCAAGATGATGATGAGAGCAGTTATAGAGAAGAAGTGGGTCATGGGCAGCGACGATGCGGGTTCTCAGAATGAGTTGATTCAGGTGGCGAAGATGGCTCTGGAGCAGCGCAGCTCTTCGATTCTAGTTCGATCCGCCACCATGGATGTCTGAATAAGGACAGCATGGCCTGGGTTTTATTTGCCACCTCGAATTTTCTGTTTGTATGATGTTGATCGAAGGTGAGGAGGGTGAAGAGAGAAGGAATACTTGGATGAGGTTTCGCGATGCGAGCTGAGAGGTTGAATTTGTGACCCGACTAAATTATACGGGGGTTTTGGGGAGTATAACTTAGCAGGTGTGAGGGGTATTAAAATAGTGGGACCGATTTAATTTATCCGGTGCTTAGTTAGTACATATGAGCACCAAACACCTTCTACCGTATTACTTATACTATCTGATCCTTTATACAGCGTACCAAACGAGGTCTAGAAGTAATAATTTCATCATCAGCAACCAAATGATGTGTCACCAATCGAAAAAATGCACATTAATTAACACTTAAGTAATAATCCAATCATAAACAACCACATCATTTAATTTACAAAATTTAGTGTTAAATTTTGGTCTCCGGTTTACCCTGAGAGATTAAAAGATAAGATAAAAACATCTTTGATTGCTTAATTTTCATTCCTGAGATAAAACACACATGCATGCAACAATGTTTTCACAATTAAAAACAAATGGTGGGTACAATATCACATCCAAATTAACATCATCTCAATACCATTAATAATCAAAAGAGGAAAATGTTGGGGGAAATGTTAAACAAATGGACGTAGGGAGGGGGAGGCTCGACATTCTCTCATGACGATTTTCCCTTCCAACGATTGCTCCGTTGGATCCATCAATCTACCAACCTGCAATGCCATAAATCATGACAATATTCTGTGATCGGACAATGTTCATAAGAGAAATTTTCAATACAAGTGTGTTTATGTGTACGATAGCTAAAGATAGATCTAGATAAAATAAATCATTTATTAATTTCTCTTTAATTATTTTAGTGTGGGATGTTTTTGTTGCTTAACATAAAAAAAAGTTGCTTGCATTTTTGTAGGGAATATTTATGCTCATCACCTTATTTATCTCGGTTATATGAGTTTAAATTTCGATATCTGTGTAGAGGATAGACTCAATCTCAAAATGTAAACTCATCCAATGAGTGGTGAGCATTGCTACCACTTGAAGGCCAGTGGTGAACAAAAATGCATTTAATTCAAAAATGCTACTCTTACCACCTATTTGTATCATCATTTGTATCGTCTCTCTAATAGAGATGAGACCCACATATGTTGGTGGACTCTACCTTTATTAGAAAGATTGTACAACTAGATGATAAGTGTAGCATTACTTATTTTTGAAGCCCTAAAAGAATACTCATTTCCAACTTCCAAGACTAGCGATCTAGCTAGGAATGAGTACGTATTATAAACAAAAGAAAATTGTTGTTGTTATTCAAAAATATTAATCTGCACTCTTATTTTATTTCATGTATTTTTATATGTTTAAAGTAGAATAGAACTTTTTAAAGTCTTAATAACATTTTCAAAACAAAATATAACTTTGTAAATACGAATATAATAAAAAATCCACCCATCCTATAAGGTTCATGTTTCAAGTTAGGCTACGGATTAGATATATAATGTACGTAACTACGTAGCACTAGTTAAGTAATTAATTACTTAATGATTAACCTAAGTACTTACGTGGATTTCTTCTTCTAGAGAGAGCAAGTGAAACCAGGAGGAGGACTCTTGCCACAAGTGACAAGGAGCTGAAGAGCCAGTGGGACAAAGACGTTGAGATTAAGAAACTTGATTTTAAGAGTAGTGCAGAGGCACATTGCAGCGTCAAGTTCAGCAAGCCCTTGCAGCACCGGGCAGCACTCGTTCACCACCGGGTCACCCTGCCCAATGTGGACCAACCCGCCTAGACGATCCACACAAGCACCAAGTTTCAATGTGTCAATGGGGCACGTGTCCTTGGGAGGCGGACTAGGTTTCCCTTGAGTTGGAGGGCATGCTGTCCCTGGACTTGGTGGCTTCGTAGCTGGGGGCCCCCCTATGACTGGTGGGATTATCCCAGGTGGGATTATTGGAGGAAGGGTCACTGGTGGCTTAATGGGTGGGATTGTAACGGGTGGGATTGTGCTTGGTGGTTTTACGATGGGTGGGATTACCGGAGGAAGGGTCACTGGTGGCTTAATGGGTGGGATTGTGACGGGTGGGATTGTAACGGGTGGTTTGATGGGTGGGATTGTAACGGGTGGTTTGATCGGTGGGATTGTGACGGGTGGGATTGTAACGGGTGGTTTGATGGGTGGGATTGTCACTGGTGGTTTTACGATGGGCGGGATAATGGGTGGGATTGTGACTGGTGGTTTGATGGGTGGGATTGTGACTGGTGGTTTGATGGGTGGGATTGTCACTGGTGGTTTGACAATGGGTGGTATTGTCACTGGTGGTTTGACGATGGGAGGGACTGTGACTGGAGGTATTTTGACGCCAGGTGGCTTTATGGGTCCTTTGGGAGTCTTTGGTTTCGGTTTAACAGGTTTGTGCTTTGGCTTGCCGCAAGTGCCACAGCCGAGGATTGGAGAGGCTGAGGAAATGAAGAGCAAGCAAATGAGGAAGAAAGCATGGAGCTTGATGGACTCCGCCATGTCTGTCTGTCTATGGAGAGAGAGAGAGAGAGTGGCAGAGTGCTGCTGTTGTAAGGGTTCGTAGTGAAACGAGGGTGTTATATAGGAATAGTGATGAGTAGAACAAAACAAAAAACCCTAGGAAGCACATCACGTGAACATGGGGGCAAGCAGCTAAGCTCAAAAGGCAGCTGCCAAACTTTGCTAGTTGGCATAACTTATTCCTTATGTTTGCACGAATCCATTTGCAATTATTAGTTTTGGTTTTCCTGTGCTAGAATTATTAATTGTTTAGTTAATTTGTTACTTTTTAAGAAACAGTAAATTAAAATCCACTATAAAATATGAGAGAACCTCAAAATTTATTGATAATATGAAAGGGAATAAATCCTAGCATCCTAAAGGTGCTACATAATCTGTTAGGATCGATGGGACCAGGAGTAGGAGTCCAATTGGTACCTTGCAAGTTCTGTGTAAAAGTTACCTTAGCTGGTATTTTTTGTTGTAACGTATATATAAAAATGTTGAATCTAGCTATATTTAGTTTCTTTTGGTACAATAGTCTGGAAATATTTGTTTCATATGCAGATAGGGTTGTCCAGTTTATCTTTTTGATCACCTATTTCATGCATAAACACGAATTCTTCAAGAAAGGAATTTAGTTGCAGTTCATATATATATATATATATATATATATTTGTTATGATCAATATACTGTTAGGGTGTTCATGCCAAAGAGTTATTGTGAACCACATTATTGCTAGCCTATTGTGAGGCTAAGCCCATCTCCTTCCCCTTAGGTAGATAATATTGTTTGTTCAAAAAAAAAAAAAAAAAATATATATATATATATATAGATTTGTTAGATTAAATGTTAGATTAGGAGCTGACGGAGTTCGAACTCACGTCGTGATGCAAGGACAACAAACAATAACTTATCGTTGGAGAAAAATTGACTTTGCTATTATTGTAACAAGATTAGTGTTTACGTTGCTTATGCCCTATTACATTGTAGGGAGTGCGTACATGTAATTGCTTTACAAAATAATCGTTGAAATTAAAGGGTACCCGTACTCCTTTTCTTTTAAAGAATAATACTGTAAACTAACCCTTTAATATGAGTAATGTTTGAATGTTTCTCTGACTGTAACTTTTGGAGTAAAACTTAAAATTTAGCTTCTAAACATATCCTAACTTGCTCAAATTCTTAGGCCAAATATGAGTTTTAACTCAAAACTCATTTTTGTGGCAGATTTATCTCAGAATTCCCTTTGGGTTAGTAGCCGCCCACCATATATATTAGTGTATATTTTTTTAGTTTTATATTTATAAATTCATTAAATGCAATTGCTAAGATCTAATGTGATCAAATCTAACGATAAAAAAAAAGATCTAATCGTCCAAATTCAATCCAATGCCTAAAATAATTATAAAAAAAAAATTCTTTCACGTGTTTCATATTCTTTCATAATGTTCCACAAGTTTCATGGTGTCGGTTTAGTGATTTTTCAATATTTATCGGAATCTAAATATTTTTAGGTTAAAATGTTCATAAAATTATATTAGAGTAGTCTACACAATTATTTCTTTAAGAAAAAAAATTATCCTAAATTCATTATTTAGTAATCTTGGGCTAAAAATTTAACCCATAAGGGTTGGAGCTATAAAAATTGTTTATGAGTTAAAACCTAAATTTTCTGGGTTAAAAACTTTAGTTTTAACCCAAAAGTTGGAAATGGTTTAAGGATTATATATGTGTCAGTTGAAATTTCACAGCGATAAAATTATCGCAGTAATCAGACTTTCAAAATGTAATTGAACGAGAAATTTTTCAGTATTATCATATGTAAAATAACACACTACATAACTTGAGTTTTCAGTATCCATAAAAATTTCTCGATAGTTTAACAAGGGATATCTCTAAGTACATGCTTGACTGGTGTTTCTAACAATATATATAGTCCCCACTTGAAAGGAGATGAACTGATAATGGCGGTACTGATTTTATCTTCACGTGTTGATGGAATGGGTTTAAATGAGATGAGTGTATTATTAACATGTGCAAAGAGCATCAACTTTCTTTATATTTTTACTCAATTTGGACATATAGTGGATTTGGAGGTGATTAATTTTGACTTTGAAACAGATCTGTGTGTGTATCAACTGTTGATAAGATATGTAGTCGCAGTAATGTGAACCGAGATCTTATTTCCTTCCCGATATGATATACAAATACCGATTGAAACCAGTATACTTCCTTTTGAGTCAATTAATTGGACCCCTAGCTCTAAACCAGTTTCAGAAGTTAACCCAGCCATATAATCAATATATTGTGGTAATATATATGATTAGTTTTCTTTGAACAATGATCTTTTACACTAAGGGGAGAGAGATTTGAGTTAAGCCATACAATAGGTCAATGATAATAAATTGGTATTGGACACATGCCATTCACGGAAGTCAAATCTAAGACATACCATTTACAAGTGAAGAGAAATATCACTAGATCGTAATACTAATTTATTATAATAAAATGCAGACGTTTGGTGACCATCCCCAAAATATTACACCTAGCTAGTTTATATTATCTTTGCCACATGCTGCTTACATATAGTAGTGCATGTGTGTACGTACTAAAGCATATACATGTGGCTTTCTCTTTTCTCAATTAATTATCAATTTAGAGCACAAATAGTAATCCACCATTGATTAATTAACGATTGATAATGAGAGATGCAAAAACATAATTTAGAAGTGATTAATGTTTGATTATATTGACTACGTGCACTGTGATTATACGTACATGCATGACGAGGGACATATATAAATGATTGTACCCATCGACTGTGATCACAAGTACGCTGGTATGTCCCAAAGTGCATGGTAAACAGGACACCTACTAGGATCTCAAAGTTCAAATAAGTCAAAACAGAGCCTCTTGCTTGGTCAGTCAAATGAACTGGAAAACAGGATGACACGTATGCGTACACAAACACACAGAGAGAGAGAGAGAGAGAGAGAGAGTACTGGAGGTGCGGTAGATCTTAGGAAACACAGTACAGGTAGGCAAGTATGTGAAATGGTGGTTGAGGAATGGAGAGAGAAAATTGAAAGAGCTAGAGGACGCAAATTGCAATGCATGGTGACCGGGAATGGAAGATATATAGATCAAAGCCATCCATATATCAAGATATATGCAACTATATATACATGATGGGTATCAATATATAGTTTTGGTCTCTCTTTCTCTCTCTCTCTTTGTAAATTATGGTCCGTGACTAAATGAATGAAGGACATGAATTGAGAATGCATATGCAGATGCATGCAGCTACCTAGCTGTATGGTTTTGGTTGCTTGTGGTATCCGTGATTCTGCTTCCCTCATCTTGATGTGATCGGTCTCCTGCCCCATTTCCAAGTGGTTATAATTTTCGCACATCATTTTTTTTTCTTCTACAAATCCTGATTTATATTTCTTTTCTAACTATTTTAACTAATTCAATTTAAAAAGTAAAAATAAAATAACCATGAATAGAAAAAGAATTTGCTAAAATAGTGCCAATATAAACCTTTTAAACTAATTTCTCTCCAATTTGGTTTCTTCTCATTTGTCATCATGAGAGTAAAACCAAATTATTTGATGAAATCTCCACTTCCAAATCGTACATATACTATTGATTATATGCATGCACTGACGGATCAGCTTCTATATATACAAAATATTATTACCACGTTGCTTGGTATTCTGTGCCACGATATATATATTTAAGCTTAATATATTTTTAGAACTCTGGGAGTTGTAGTTCAATTGCCAACAAGATCCTCTTTGTGAGAATCTTATGCATCCGTGAATCATATACATTTATCATACATCGTACGGTTATTTTTCATCAGGTATCGTTTGTGTTCAATTTTAAATAAAAAATTTAAAATAGTTTCTGACCGCACAATGTACGGTGAAATGATACAACTTACCGATCCCTGAGATTCTCACAAAGAGAATCCGGATTTGTTCGATTGCACATTCTTAGTTTGCTTCATTAGTTAAGATAAATAAATTATAGGATCGGTAATAAGTACTATTAGCTAACGTATTCATATATAAAGTGTAGGCTATCTATCACTAATTACCCTAAACCCTAAATTCTAAGAGAAGAAGGTTTATCACGAGACAAAAGATTTAACTACAACCCCCTCAAACCCGTGCACACATTAATTATATAATGTACATATTCGGAGGTGAATCATAGAACATAAAAAATTGGGGTACTTATGGACCTAACATACGTCATATCCCTCACGACATAAGATTGAAAGATCTAACCTTCCTCTTTAAAGCGTAAACGGACATGGGCAAAACATATAATGATCAGCACAGTCGCTCATAGGGATATTTCATCCGGTATCTCCTTGGGTTGGGTGGAGATAAAGATACAGTATACACGCACATAGTACAAAATTTTCCCATTACTTTTTTATCTGTAATAGTTGAAAAAAAAAAAGATCCGACTCCAAGTTGTTCAAAAATGAGCGAGTGCACTTCAATAGGTTTTTGTCGAGTGTGGTGTCTCTACATGCGCAGTAACATAAATGAATGATGTTTTCTTTTGGATCGTGGATTGAAGGATTGAACGTATGTATGATGATATATAGAGTCATGCAGTAAAATGTAAAATATTGGTTCTGCACATTTAGTTTTCTCTTTGTCTCTGTCTTAGCTATAATGGACGGCTCTGGGAGACTGGGACTCTGAGTGCATGCAGATGCAGTGCGACTCCTCTCCTACACATGCATGGCTTGTGGTAGGTCATAATCTATCAAATGGTTGTAGTTTGCGTGGAAAGTTTATTCGTCACGTAACAAAAACTGAATTACAACCACATATGTAAATTTCGTATTAATTTCTTTTTCATCGATACTGATCATCATGTTCTTTTTTTTCTTCGAAACAAAAGATATTATTTACATTAGAGATAGGAGAGTGAGCTAACTAATAGCAATAATGTAGTTCAAGTTTGTCTTTGGTGATAATCAAACTAAAACCTCTGACTTACAAATTACAAATAAAGAAGAATACCATTAGACTGTAATACTCAACACTAATTATCAAGCTCGAGTTTCTTATGTATGATTATTTTCGCATAGAAAGACAAGGAACAAAAGAATCTAGCTAGGGTCTAATATGTCTTACTATACCGTCGATAATGGCACAAGGCGGGCACGTGGGCGTGTTTATTTCATTTTTATTTTTCAAAAAGGAGATAATAATAAGTTGATTAGAAATTATTGTGAGTACCATGTTTAAGAATGGGAAATTAATAAACACCCCACCTGGTATACATGTTATTTACGTGGTTTGGCTATGTAAGTTTAGTAGGCAACAACAAACTTTCGTTATATCAATAATAAGTACAACGAAGAATCTTGCTCAGTCTCTTGAATTACAACTTGACAACAAATCTGAAAGAATAAGAACAAGAAATGAACTTTTATCTCTTCTTTTTTCTCACACACACATTGCTCTTACAAATTACAATATTCTCTCACTTAACTCCTCAAGTGGTATACAACTTATTGTTTTGCTCCTCTTCAAAAACTAGTGCAATAGCTCTGTATATGACATAATAAAGGTCATCTTCAATAAGAAATACTAATCCTAATTGGAATCTAGTTATGGATCCTTCTCTAATTGAGAAACAAACTCCAATCAGGAAAACCACTCTAATTGAAAAAACAACTTTATAAGGAGTGCACAATTAAATTTATGGAGTGCCAATAATAGTTCCGAATGATTATTACTTAAATTTCATTAGTAGCTAAGCTTGACTCTTCCAAGTTAACAACAAATTTTTCATCTGTCCTTTCAGCTTACTTTAAATTTATTTATTTATCTATTTCAATCCAATCCTCTACACAAAAGATAGTCTAAATTCCACTTCTACCATAGCTTTAGAATATTGCTTGACCTTAGTTGAACAAATCAAGGCATATACATTAGTATAAAAATGAAAAAAGAAAGATCAATGTATATATGGGCCGCCCCGTAACCCATATATGTAACATGGAAGGAGTCGGCCCTTCATCAACCGTAGTTCATTTTTTGTGGTGAAAAGGTTGTGAGTCACATTCCTAAGTACAGCCCACGAGTTGACAGGTCAGCCTTTTACAGTTTCAATGTTTTGTCCACCAGGCCTTTTGTTCTTACTATTTGCATTTCAAAACCAAATAACTTCATATTTTTTTCCATTTGATGTAGATTTTTTTCATAAGCGATAAGATAATTATACTAAATTATGCTAAGCTACAAAGAAATTTATCTAAGTTCATTTAAATGATAGCATAATTATGCAGAGTAGGATTTAGTTGACTTGGTTAGACAACGTGCTCTTTCTTACATGCTTAAGTTTGAATTTCCCTTATTATATAGCGTAAACGCAAGTTCATTGACAATGATCACATCGGTAAGTTGCTAGATGATGTTTTTAATATTATCATCTCATTGTTGAGCATGAGGGATGCTATACAAACGAGCGTATTGTTGCCTAGGTGGAAGAACATGTAGCGCATACATATCGAATCTTGAATTTGATTGGTGTGATCCAGTCGACACAACTCATGAAGAAGCTGTCAAGAGAAATGTGTGTAATTTTCTAACAAAAATAGGACAGATTCTCAGCGTGTCATTTGGGCACGAAGGTTGTCTCCAAGGTTCCTGTTTCTTTGAAGGTAAGCGAGCTCATCAACTCAATGACCAGTTTTGCTATTAGAAAGGGTGTCGAAAATCTTGACCTTTACTGGCAACCAAGCTGGTCGCGCTGACCTGGAGAACCGTTGATTTCTCTCCGGCTCAGATCCTTTTACACCGTGAAGAATCCAAATTAAGGTGTTTTTTCTTGCGCGGATGCACGCTTGAGTCAGATTTCAGTAATCGACTCTTGTGTTCTGCGATGTAAATCTTGTTGCTGGACATGTTGAGCCGCGCGTATGTTTCTCTTCTTTAAGCCTCGAGTATTTAACACTGCAACGGTGTTTGGGATTAGGAAGATTGTTGCATGATGATTCTCTTCGTCGCTTGAAGGCGTTGGTGGTGAGTCTCTGCGAAGGGATAAAGGGGATTGAGCTCAGCAGTTTCTATTACAAGGGTGATAACATACAGCTCTCTTCCAAATCGGTTCCCAATCTGGAGGACGTGCATGTTACGATGAAGGAAGTTAATGTGATCCCTACTTTTGCTCGGTTAGAGAAACAACTTCCTTCCTCATGTCAAGACTATTAACAGTTACCAGCATTCGTTCGCGTAAGTAAAACATGGAAAACTCCGAATGGCTACTTGGTTTTTCGACAGATTAACTTGCCGTGCTCTCAGTTTTTCTTCTTTTTTCCCCTTGTCTTTCGTTGCAGGTTAAGGTCACTGACCATTCACCAAGGCTCAGCGTTTGGGTCGGTGTTCCTGCTTCAGATATTCCATTTGGCCTCGAACCTTCGCTGCATCTAATTGTGGTTGCAGAAGAAGCTTTGCGGGCTTCAGATTACTTGGCGTACTTATTTGTAGTTGCTGTCTAAATTACTTTCCAAAATCCGGATACATATGCAGTTTGACATGTACAATGTGTTATGGAGGGGGAAGAAAACGAGAGTCGAATGGCACTATGAGTCTGTGTGGTGGTAGCAGTTTTTTGGATTGTGAATTGCTTATTCCATTCAATGAGCCTTGTTAGGAAGAGATTTTAAGATAGGACTCTGCGTAAGATAACTCTCTCGCATGACTTGGGTTCAGTCAACTTTCGTTTCAAAACCCTTTTTGTGAGGGAAAAAAAAGGGCAACTAAAGAGAAACCTTGTGGGTTTTTTTTGTCAACTAAGAATAGTGTTTGGCTACTCATACATTGAGTGGTTGGAGCTTTTACTTAAAACTTATTTTTTATTCATAGATCTTTTTTTTTACAATGAAATCGTTTATATTATAAATCATTCTATAAAGATCATGTATGTATGTAAAACAATCAATTAAAATTAAAGTCTTAGTACTGAATTGTATAGAACATATGGACGAAAAGGTAAAAACATTACAAATTTACAACTGTCTATCTATTTATTACAGTTTATTGACTTAACAATATTACTTTTAAGAGTTTTTTTTTTTTTTTGGCATAAATAATTTTTACAGAGTAATTTAAGATATAAATGATTTCGATTATAAGCATAAAGTTATGGAAATCAAGATTTTTGAACAAAAAATTTCTACTCATTTTTTAGTATCTAATCATTCGTCATCGACTAAATACTGCTTTTTTATTTAATAAAACGAGACTTGGGAAACTACAAAGAAATTGTGTGCATAGTGGCGGGCACACGGTAGCATGGAGATGGGACACTTGTAAGCCCCTCATACACTCACAGACGAACGTAAATTCTGATTTGGGGGAAGATGAAGATTAGGGCTTAGTTGTTGTTGGCTCAGTTCGTCGGAGCCCCGAACCCCTAAAACGCAAAATTGCAATAGGGATTAGGGTTCTGAGAGCTTCCATTGGAAAAATCCGAGCTCTCTGAAGACCGAAATCATGAAGAGAAAGCGCGTGGCACCTGCCACTCAAACACAACGGCAGTCTTCTCCCAGAAAGGTACTACTCTATTTTTTCACTTGTTAATTTGAAGTATATATGTGTGTGTGATTTGTACTTGGATTAAATCAGGTGTATTTGAAAGGGAATTGTGTGGTCAATTTTCAATAAATTGTTTATTTTTTCCTGAATTCTTTAGCAAGTTTAGGTCGAGTTCGAAGAAAAACAGGATTTTGTAAAACCCCAGAAGACAAAATTAATGATTGGAAGTGTATTTCGTTTGGAACAAATTGAGATGATTGGATTTCATGTGAAAGTTACAATTTTTCCATTAAATTGTAAGTAGTTGAGCTACAATTTGCAATTTTAGGAGTACTTCACCATCCAGGATTAAAATTAGCCACTAATTGTGGGCCCATGGTGTAGCTTAGCGCAAATCACCCACCGGGCTACCCGGCCGTTGGAGTAGAATATCATTGTATAAGAAAATAAATTAGTTGCTATTGTCAGTTTTTTTGTTGATTAGGAGATGAGCCTGACTTTGATATTTGATCTGTAATCATGTAGTGGAAGATTAGTGGCAATGATCACATCAGTAAACTGCCAGATGATATTCTTTATACCATCGTCTTGTTATTGAGTATGAGGGATGCTGTGCGTACGAGTGTATTATCACGCAGGTGGAAGAACATGTATGCATACATATCAAATCTTGAGTTCGATTGGCATAACATAACCTCCACGCCAGTCAACTACAATTGTGGAACTGTTCCCAAGGGTTATGTGCGTCATTTTCTAGGAATAATAGACAGATTCTTAGCGCGTCATTTGGGCACGAAGGTTGTCTCCTTCAAGGTTTCCTGTTGCTTTGGCAGTATGTATGCTCATCGAATCACTGACTGGATCGTTTTTGCCGTTAGAAAGGGTGTTGAAAGTCTCGATCTTGCCTTTACTTGTGACAAACCAGCTGAACGCCATGATTGGAGAACCGTTGACTATTATCCTTTTCCTACTCAGCTCTTTTTGCATGGTGAAGAATCCAAGCTAAGGCACCTTTCCTTGCGCTCAGTCACACTTTGGTCAGATTTTAGTGATCGGTTTAGAACCTTATCCACTCTTGTGTTGTGCGATGTTAATCTTGCTGGACCCGTTGAGCCACGCATGTTTTCTTCTTGTTTGAACCTTGAGCGTTTAACATTGCAATGGTGTTTTGGATTAGAAAGGTTGTGCCTTGGTGATTCTCTTCATCGTTTGAAGGTACTGATGGTGAGCCTGTGCGATGGGTTAAAGGGGATTGAACTCAGTGCCACCAATCTTACCATTTTTCATTATAAGGGTGATGATACAGAGCTCTCTTTCGAAAGGGTTCCCAATCTGGAGGAAGTGTGTGTTGTGATGAAGGCAATTAATGTGATTTCTACTTTTGCTCGGTTAGAGAAAGAACTTCCTCATGTCAAGACCATGACAGTTACTAGAGATCATTTGCGTAAGTAAAAGATGGACAACTCTGTGTGGTAACATGTTTTTTTCAAACGAGCTAACATGTCATGCTCTCACTTTTCCTCTTCTTTATCCCTCGTGTTTTGTTGCAGGTCGGGGTTACTAACTATTCAACAAAGGCTCGGGGTTTGGACTGGTGTTTTGTTTAATATCCAAGATAGCAGCTCTCTCCTAGAAGTTTTACCCCTGCTTCAGAAATTCCATTTGGCCTCGAATCTTCACTGCATCGACTATTGTTGTAGGTGTCCGATATAAACTTGTACCGTTTTGCATCAGATTGTTACAGAATATTTACCCCTGCTTCAGATCATGGGGCGTTATCATTTATAGTTGGTGTCGAATTTACTTTCCGAAACCTAGAAATTCAAACTCACATGTATAATTTACTTGGGGAAGAATTCAGAGGATTTTGTAGAATATATGGTGTAAAGTGAAATTTATTAGCATTGTAGTTCTTCGTTTTTATGTAATGGAGGAATTTCAAGTTGATTTTTTGGATGGTTTTTCGTGGTTATTGTTTCTTGTTGATTCGTGTTTCTAATGGGTAAAAAAGGCTTCCCAATCCCATGCTTGTTACAACTTTACCATTGCTTGTACGTGTTTTAAGTAAATGCGGTAAGAGCACACGAGATTTAAGCCAGTTGATCAGAGCAGTGTGCGTTTTGAACCCGATATCATAACTCCCTCCATAATTAAACAAATAAGAGGCAATTTTGAAATAGACTTCATTTGCATTATTGATTTCAACAAGGAAGCCTTGTATAAGATGCTGATACACATATAAGTACACAATCCAGCCCACCCGACCCGAAAAACCGAAAAGAAGAAACCGAAACTTTACAATAAATTGGCAAGCAAGCTGCTGCCAATTTTGTCTAATCATATTCATCTACCGCAAGCCAGTCACTTGAATACTCACCTTCTGAATCTCTCCCTTTTGACCGACCAGCCTTTTGCCGGCCACCCTCGTTTTCCGAGCTTCGATTCAGCTGAACCCAATCATTTGATCCATTGGGTGAACATGCCCTGGCATACGGTCCTTGCCTTAGTCCTGATTGTCTACTAGAAACGTCATTCTCTTCGTCCTCTAAATCACTGAATGAGATATCATCTTCAGGTTCGTGTTTTCTTTGGCCATCCACAAAAGTGCCAGAACTAATACTCGCACCTTCAGACCACTGCTCAGTGCCCTCTTCGTCATCGGTCTTAAACCTTTCTGTCGTGTTAACTATTTCAGTCGAGGCTTCCTTTTCTTGAGATGAGCTTCCCTCCCCTTGTGCCTTCCCATCCTGGATGTGATTTTTAGGTGAAACGAGAATTGACTTCTCTGGGGCATCCTCCCGTGTGTTCCTCTTGTTGTGAAGTTTGTGCAGAAGTACGTCTCTTGCTTCAACAATCTGCAAAGAAAGAAGTTCTATTTTCAAAATAATGCATTTGCTACAAGTAGTGTCCGAAGCTGCATCGTGGAATTGGACACATCCAAAGTTCTACGATGCTATAAAATCGGCTACTAAGTTAAGAGTTAAAACGTATAACAAATATGAGGAACAAGCAAAGGACAGACAAGCTACAACATCGAACGATGTTGTACAAGAGCAGCTGGTAACTGGTTATGCACATCAATCCCATATCTCAACTCTCACTTATGCAAGCTGCGGTTAGAATGGCTATCGTAGAACCTTGAAATCAATATCCAAATATAGTAAATTGAATTTATGAAGACAAACGCGCGCTGAATTCTGTATAAAAGTCAACTTCCAAAGTGTCCTCAAAAGAAAATCGTACATGTAAATATGGATAAGAAGCGTGACAAAAGACGAGAAGGATAAACTTCTTGCCTTGGGCGTTGCTAGAAGCTCAAAATCATGTTCATTTAGTCTCGGGAGCAACAACAAGAAATAGATCATCCAAAATTGCTCCTCACTCATGGAATTGCAAAGCCGGGCTCTTAGATCTGCAAATCCCGGAACCAATTGTAAAACAGCGGACACATGCTCTCTCTGAGCATCCGACATGCTGAAATCTGCAATAAAACCAGCACAAAATCAAAACCAACAAGCATAAGATTGTAAGAACCAATTGTTCAGTCTGTTTCAATTATCTTGTCAATCGTTGTATCGCAATCACAAACAGATTCAGAGGTCTCCGATACCAACTCCGGTATCTAACATTACACAATTAGAACGCGAAAATCAAATCGAACAAAAACATCACAGCGAATGCGCAACAGATTTTGAGTAATTTTTTATATCTTCAAAACAAACTCAAAGCTTCCTCCTAAGAAACTTGATCTTTCAATTCACAATCCACAACTTCATAAGAAAATTAAAGCAATAGACACAAAGAAAGTAGGCAAAACTAACATTGCATTCAATTTGAAGTGGAAGCTAGCAACTTTACCATGTTCGAGCGTCATTGGAAAGTCGGTCCAGCAGTCCGGCACCACCGAAATCTCGGTGACGAAACTGAGAACCTCGTCCGTGATCCCCGGCACGTGACCGCCGCCATCATCGCCGTCTTCATCAGCTCCACCTTCTTCTGAAGCTTCGTTCTGAAGCTGCAACAAGCCCGAAGCGAACTTGGAGATCTCAGCGACGGCTTTGTTGCTGTTAGTAGAGAGCAGCGAGAGGCCGGTCTTGAAGCTCCCGCCGATCTCCACCAGATCATTCCGGATTCCCAAAATCGCCGGCGATTGAGATTGCGATTGCGACTGGGGCTGGGAATTGGACGAGGGAAGGGCGTCGTTGGATGGCGGTGATGGAGGTGGAGCGAGGAAGGTGGCGACGCCGCGGAGTTGGCGGCCGAGGGTTTGGCGGAGAAACGACAGGTCGTTTTGGGGTTGCTTGGGTTCTACATCACGCGGGTCGTCGTCGTCGTCTGGTTGGCGGGGAGAGCTAAAGAGCCAAGACATTGTTTGGTGAATTGAATTGCTTTCTTTTTGGATTTATTGTTGTGAGAAACAGCAACATGATGGTGGCTCAAGAAGAAGCTCTCTCTTCTTCTCATTCATTTTTTTGTATTTTTGTATTTTTTTTTGAATTTGTAATTATATACACACACATATATATAGCAAAATATCTAATGAAATTTTTAAAAAATCTCATTTTTCACAAAAATTGTGAGCGAAACTTGTGGTTTTTACCAGTTTTGTGAAATTTCATAAAAATCATTATAAAATCTATTTACGTGAGAATTCCACTGCACTATGCGTTTCTGAAAATTTATATAGAATATTTAAAAGATATTTAGAGAAAGCATTTCAAAGATGTCCATATCGACAGAAGTTCGTTTTAATTATTTTCAGCACCATTATTGATTTTTATTTTTATTTCTTAAACAATTTTGTAAATCATGGTAAGACCTCTTAATTACATTTTCACAAAAATTATACTTACTCAAAGTTTTTAATTGGTTTTACAAATTTCTTCGTTTAACTTTCACACAAATTGTGAGTTATAACACATTTTCCAATCGGTTTAGTGAATTAAACAATCCAAACAAGTAATTATACCATAATAAAAGCCATTGTAGTATGTCATTTGTTATTAGCAAAGAGGAGGAATAGAATGGTTTGCAAATAACAGGCGACTCCAAGCCAACAATAAAGCTCCCTGCTTTATGAGGATTCAGAGTGGGAACTGTATCTAGTACGCAGCCTTAAACTTGCTTTGCAAAGTGATTGTTTCTACGACTCAAACCATGATCTTTTGATCACAAATGAGCAACATTTCCGTTGTATAACAATTAATAAAAATAGCCAAGACCCAGAAATCAAATTTCATGTATATCATTGTTATACATATAACATCTATCAACAATCACAAATTTTACAAATAATTTCTCTCATAGAGATGCTTTAAGGACCGAATCAGTAGAGGGCGGAAAAGAGAAAAACAGACACAAAGATCTCCTGCGCAGGTCAAAAGAATTTACTCAAGTCGCCATCGATCCAAATTACATAATTTTCGATCATCAACGCAAATCGCCGAACAGCTCGAACTCCTCCCTCCGACTGTTTATTTAACAAAGAATCTTAATCCTAAGCTAACTACTGCACATACAAAACATATGGTACACGTCTCCCTCCAAATTTCCGATGCCTCAACGGCTAAAACTGACTATTCTTTCATGTCCTGTTCTTTCTGCGGCTGTAATTCTTGTTAAAAATCTGTTTTTTGGATGGATCGTCTATAAAAGGCCTGCGTATGGGTTGTATGCTTGGACAGGGACACCGGGGCCATAGGGGTGGGTAGGGGCTCCGTGAGGAGTTCCAAAAGGATTCATAGACAGTTGCTGTTGTTGGCCCATCATCATCATCATCTGCTGCTGCTGCTGCTGTTGTTGCTGCAACATGAAGGCCTGCTGCTGGTTTGCCATTGCTGCCATCTGCACAGAATGCGGTGCAGCCATTCTGTTGGATGCATAAAAGGGATCATGAGGTGGTTGTTGCATCATGGCACCATTTACCGGAGCAGGCTCCCATGGGTTGTAGCTCACATTCTGATTGTTTCTTCTGATTGCATCGTCATATAGGCTGTCTAGTGTAAGCAAGTCTAACCCTCCCGCCTTCACTCAACATTTGAATGGCGTCAGCAGTGTCCGTACATTAAGGGAAATAGAAAAGAAAAGAGAAAGGAAGTGTAGTGAAAGTATAAGAACAAAAAGTGTGTCTGTAACTAAACACTAATACTGGCCAATTAAATTCCACACGCGTAAACAATACGAGAAGGGAAACTGGTAGGAGAAGAGTACCAGTTTGCTAGAAGCCACGGCACTCTCATTTGAGCTCGGTGCTGTAACAAGTGCCAATTCCCAACCTGTAGCTCCATTTTCTAGAGTTGGAGCTGTGGATGTTGGTTGGTCCGCTACAAGAACCACAATAGCATTTCAGAAAATAAAATTTATTATAATTTTCTTCTTAACCAAGAAGAACATAAGGAGCTTCGTGTACGTTTAAGAGAGAGAGAGAGAGAGAGAGAGAGCTTACAAACTGGAACAATCGCTAAAGCCAGTGCATTCTTGTCATCCAACTCTCTAGTATTTGGAACAGGATCATTCAAACCCTAGCAACAAAGTAAGGCATACATGATTAAACTTCAGAGGGACGACAGCGTGCCAAAATTCAAGGAAAGTAACTAACGAAGGATTATGTGAATTACCAGCAAATCAGGCGGTTCAGCTACAGGTGCTTCCACTTTCACTGGTTCACATTCCCTGGTTCAGGTAGAGGTGGTGAAGGTGGACGTGCCTCCTCCTCCGGGGCCTTTTTGTACTCTATAGCCAAGATTTCTTTGGGGGCAACCACCTGCCAGGTTAAAGATTAAACTCGAAGGAAATTGTTGCAAACTGCATGTACATAAAGCAGGCAGCCAATATATCATCAATTCTTATCAGCTGGTAGAGAGTTGGTTTGTGTGAGTATTTTCGGATCTGATCATATTGTGAAAGCCAACAGCTTCTAAAAGCCGAATTTGGATCCGGATTTTTTTTTTGT